GACTGGAGGGGTATGGATCTCTGTATCTTCTGAGCTCACCGCTGCACTGCACTGTTCTGTATCAGGGATTCTTAACACTCCTTTTCACAAAATCCAGATGTGTGCCATTTTCTGTGCCACTCACATGTTCATGCAGGGAACATCATGGTTATAATTTTTCCTGACACAAACAAGGTACATGGGTGATTTATTGTTGTAGAAGACAGCTGGGATGTACTGAGCACACCGTGAGCTGTTAAACTGGGAGGTGTCAAGGAGCAATTTTGTGGGACTGAATTCTGTCCAGCAGGATCTGAGCTCAAGAGTACTCTCTCTCCCTCGGCAGTTTCTGGCAATTCGTATTCAGAAGCATACCGGCAAATAATATGGGGAGAATATTTTACTCTCATGATTGAAGGTTGAGCATGGACTCAGCTGGAAAGACTAGCTTACTATAGCAACAGCAGAGAGGTGTCTTGCAACATGTTGGCCTGGTGTCAAATGTAATAATGCTGTTGACATGTCTTTTCAGCCCAAATAGAGTTATGCACCTGCTCTGGGCTATCTGTATTAATTAAAATCCCTGGAAAGGACACATAAATCAAAAGCAATTGAATTGAATCATATATGGTACAACATCATTCATTGTGGGTTCAGGCACAGTTGAGCCATGCGTGGCGGGACTAAGGCATGGTGAAATTGCAATGAACACAATACAACACAATACAACCCCCATTGTTCAGCCCAGACACTGAGGTCCAGCACCGAGGGCCTTCTGGCGGTTCCCTCCCTACAAGAAGTGAGGTTACAGGGAACAAGGCAGAGGGCCTTCTTGGTGGCGGCACCCACCTTGTGGAATGCCCTCCCATCAGATGTCAAGGATATAAACAACTATCTGACTTTTAGAAGACATCTGAAGGCAGCCCTGTTTGGGGAAGTTTTTAATGTTTGAAGTTTTATTTTGTTTTTAGTCCTCTTTTGGGAGCTGCCCAGAGTGGCTGGGGAAACCCATCCAGATGGGCAGGGTATAAATATTATTATTATTATTATTATTATTATTATTATTATTATTATTATTAATTACAGATGTCAGCAGGTTTTGGCACAGGCATTGGGTGTATATCCAGTATCAACCAACCCACTGCTGGTTGATTATCTGGCAGATTAATCAAGGTTAAGAACCACCCTATGATGTTCATCAAATTGGGGCAACTCCCCAAGATCACCATTTTGTGAGTGCTTTAGCCCATCAGCCCCTGTCTGGGCACCTGGACAGAAGCTCCTCCCCCTGAATCCCCTTAACAGGATACTTTGATTCCTTGGTACAGCGCCCCATTATCAAATATGATTCCAGGGTGCTAAATCACCCAGCCTCCCAGTTGCAACATCATGTGCTGCCTTGCCCTGTGAAGTTTCTTCCATACATGGTTGACTTGTACTAGTTCCGTGGCTCCCCAACAGTTCTGCCATTCCAGACGTTCTGACCGCACCATTGTCACTAGTGAGTGTGTTACTTGCAGTGCCTCAATGTCCACTTCTGCTGCAATGGTGAGGTCAATGCCTTTCTGGCACTCCTCACTGAATGATCTGAGCATCCAGCAGGCCCACCACTGTGATGTGAGATGTCAGACAAGGCATCAAGCTGTCCCGCATCATATCACTCCAGCCAAGCCATGTTAAATGTCCAAACCAGCGTGTTGGCCCCACCATGTCAATTTACAACATAGCAGTGCCCAATGCCCAATGCTGTGGCCTCAGATCCACACTCCCTTGTGTGCCGCACCAGAAATAAGGCCATCAACAGGAAGGATTAAGCATTGAGGCTATTTCAGGTCTAATCTAACTCTTGTAGGTGGAGGAACGCCAACAGCGTCCATCTGAAAGCTGTGGTGGCAGCCCCACTGTGGAACAAATGGGCAGCATAATCCATGGGGTTATCACTGCAAGTGAGGAGAGCCTTCCTTAGAACTCCTGTGAATTGACTCTTTGTTAAACGAGCTCCATTGGTGTGGATGAGGCAGGGCATGTGGGCCTTCTGGCCAGAAACCACTTGGTGTTGACCACAGGGCAAGCTTCAGCATGAGGAGAGGCTTTCATAGACAGCATGCCCCCCCTTGCCAAACTGGTTGGTCTTAGAAACCTGGATCCACACCCTCAGGGAAGTCTTAGCAAGCTGTAGGTCACTTAGTAGGAGTAGGGACAGCAGGAGAGCTGGCCATGCACTCCCCAACTTGGAGAGCCCCCCAAAATGAGAGGGAGCAGGCCACACAAAAAAGCTTGGTCTCATATTCTGACCAGCAGATGGTGTCCAGTGCTCCCCATATGTCCCTAAAGAGGTCACATGTAATTGGTCTCCAGGTGTCTGGGGCTAGAGAGTGGTACCACTGCCAATCCTTGAGCAGCCTGACTACATGGAAGTAGTTGCAGAGGGCAGGTCTTGATGGCTAACCCTAGTTCCTTAAGAGAGACAAGGTATTGCAGAACATCCTCGTCCTATGTGACCCAGGCCTGCCCCACGTGCAGCCTAAATGTTTCAAAGGAAGCCCAAGCCCTGGATTATGGATTGTAATACTCCCTGCATCATGGTGTGCTTCCAAGTGCCCACAGATCCACGGGAAAAGGCTCTGGCTCCAGCTGAGCCCAAAAGTGATCCTCCTGAAATTGAGACAGAGCATCCGCTATGCTGTTATCGAGGCCTGGAACAAAACTGGCTGAAAAGGAAATGTTAGCCAGCAAACACTGAACCCCTTGAATCTAGTCAAGTGTTGTGTGCACGCAAAACATCACCATTAGCATTTCCATGGGTTGCCCTCTATAAAACCTATTGACACATACTTTCCTACACACTAATCACGCTATCGTGCCTATAAAAATTAATAATGCAATAACAGTTAAGTGGTTATGAGTCAGACCAGACTCTAAGAACGAGAAATGTTTAGTAGTTGTGTGTTTCCTGCTCCATAACAAGTCACTTAGGCTGCACTCCTGTACACAATTACCTGGGAATAAGCACCACGGAAATTAAAGGGGCTTGCTTCCGAGTAGACAGGTATAGGATTGTTATAGTGTTGTCCTGCTCAGCACATTGAGCCCCCGTCAAATGACATTGCTGCAATGGCATTCCTCATCCAGATCCCCTGTAATTCACATCTTACATCCAGCCATTTTAAACTTACTTAAAATCATGATGTATTCCATATCCTATCATCATGAAATGGTGGACTCACATTATTTGTGTTCACATTCACCAAATGTAATAAAACTATATCACTCTTTAATAAATTTATCTGATTTTAGTACAGTGTGCTACTCTGATTTCATGAGTTGATTTTTCCGTATATGTTATATACCGTATCTGATCATACTAATAGCTTAAGGTTGCTTGCTTCAAATCTTTCCAAAACCAAAGATTACTGTCTGCTTCTTCCTCTTTAACCAGTTACAAGTCTATAACAGGAGCTGTGCTCCCATGACTGCTAAATTTGCTCAGGAACCTTTGACAAGAAAATATGTCAAAAGCTGTTTTGAGAGTCCAAGTTGGTAATGTCTATGAGTTCAACCTTATCCACATGCTTGCCATCATTTTCTATGAACTATGAAAGGTTACTAGGGAAAGGCTTGGCTTTGCGGAAGCCGTAATGATGGTGATTCTTCATTATTCATTTATTTATTTGTGCGTCACTTCCCACATAATGTCCTGAAGACACTAACAGCAATAACAATAATTACAAATTAATAACTCAGTTTCCAAAACGCTATACCAAAATAAAACCCTCACCTCCAACTGACCTGAGTTAGATATAAGTTGGGACCTTTTCAATCGTATCAGTAGCAATCAGTTGTACATGCCAATTTATCTCTACCCACAACTTTGGTAAAATAACATGCAAGTTCATTTATTTTAAACATTTATACCCTGCCTTGCATAAGTGAGCCCAAGGCAACTGACAACCTAAGTTAAAACAATGACTTCAGTGCATCTACGTGTAGGCATGTAAATGCGTCATGCCGCAATTTGGCAATGCCAGCTGAGCAGCAGGAATGACTCCTTTGTCACGGAGAGGCCATGACTAGTGAAATATCAGGTCTTCTAACCTCTGCAGGGATGTGGAATGGTTTGATTAGGATGTCCAGTTTGCAGAGCCTGGGAGATCCAACTGGTTTCCAGAATGCCTTTGAGGGGTTTTCTGCTGGCTGTCCTGTTAAAGCCCCAGCTGGCTTCAGACGGGGGAAATGAGTCAAACCATAATAATCATGAGAGCCCTCAGTAGCATGTTCCTGCCTCAGGAGAACCACGCTGACTCTTTCTCTGTGATATGCTGGTCTTAGGTAGCCATGTGCAGGAAGTTATTTTGGTTTTTAACTTTAATGTAAGGGAGCACATCCCACAATAGTTATTTATTTGTTTGTTTGTTTTATATCCTGCCCTTGAACCTGAAGGTTCCCAGTGTGGCTTGCAACATATCAGAAAAACACATAATCAGCATAATAAGTTTTCATTAAAAATAAACCCTTTCTAAATAAATAAAACAGTGATTCAACATTCCAGGAGAGAGAGAGAGAGAGAGAGAGAGATGAGTACTTTTAATCAGTTGCCCCTATAAGCCTGAAGTAACAGAAATAGCTTACCCGGCTCTTAGCCGGATGTCTGGAACTTATTAATGTAGGGAGCAGCAGTGTTTCCAGTGGGAGGGATTTCACATCTAATAAAGAAGGAACTACTGTAGTGAACTACAGATGCTGATGGAACCACAAGCAGATCTCAAGGTAGAGATTGACAATAGTGGAAAAGAAACCCTTCAGTGCTTGGGACCCAAGTCATGTAGGGGTTTTATACATGATAACTGGCACCTGAAATAGGGCCGAGTAGTGAACAGGCATCCAGTGACACATACATGCCATGAGGCCTGAAGTGCTAGTAGATTCTAAAATTCTGCTACTTCATTAAACTGCCTCATTTGACATTCCTTTCTATACAATTTCAGTGGGGTTAGGCACATTACCTGTTTATGAGAACTTTTGTTGTTTAGTCGTTTAGTCGTGTCCGATGTTTCTGCATCTTTGTTGGCAAAATATCTGCTTCAACCACATTGATTTTGATGGCTCAGCTGATTTATTTTCAGAGATGGAAACTTCTAAACAAATCAAGAGGGGATTTAAAAAAAAATTTGCTTTAACTACTTACACAGCTGATCCGAAAAATAAAAAACATGTTCATACCTGCATATAGATGTTGTCTTCGACTGCTGCCACCTGGCAGATTATAATATGGAATGGTTCTTTTACATCAGAATCACTGGAGTTCACATTAGCCTCCTAGAATTTAAAAGCAATCAACACACCTTCTTTTGTTTTTACAGATCTCGGTGCAAGTGCTTTCCCAGGCTTCTCTGTAGAAATGACATCCCACAAATTCACAATTCCTTCCCTGATTGGCTAGGGGTTTCAAATCCTTTGTCTGTTGGTCCACAATGGGCTACCATCATGAAAGAGGGTTCACATGACCACCAACACCCAAAAGTGCACGTCATGGTGGTCCTCAGGGGCAGGACTACTGGTGTGGGACATCTGAGGCAGGACATCATGTGACATCACCTGTCAAACCCTAGGAGACTAATCAAACCCTAGAGGGAGTATGATTATGTTATATTACTTCACCACCAGCTTGAGGAAGTAGTAAATATACTGGGCTTTGACATGACATGACATCACTTCATCATGTATTCCTTTGCCCTGTTTTGCTATTGGCTACCACATGGCGATGTCATATCCCTTGTTTCCACTACTGTATGTCCCATGAACAGTGGCCAAGAAAGCTGCTCAGGTGCCTGGGGCAGGACACCAAAGGACAGGGTGAACCGCCTGGTGACACACGCGCGATATCCGTACGGACTGCGCATGTGCGGCATCCCATATGGGGTGTGCATGCGCAGCAACCATACGAGCTGCCACGCGTGTGCACTCCATATGGGATGCTGCACATGCACACTCTGTATGGGCTGCCGCTCCCGTGCGGCGGTCGTATGGACTGTTGCTTGCACAGCGTCCATACGGGCTGCCGCTTGCACATGTGTGGCATGTGTGGCATCCTGTATGGACTGTGCGTGTGTGGCATCCCGTACGGACTGCGCACGCGCAACAGCCTGTATGGATGGTGCATGAGAGTGGTGCCCATACGGACTGCGCGCGCACTCAGCCGCTCTACAGCTGGGGAGAGGCAGGGGCCATCTTGTCACACACACCCCGAGTGGCACCAGGGGCGGCCTGCCTCCTCTGCCCCCCCACTTCATATGCCCCTGGTGCGGCACACCACGGGGCCTCCGGAGTCTGCCTGCCTCCCTACTCAGCCACCCTACAGCTGGGGGAGAGGCAGTGGCTGGACTGTTTGGGCAGCGTGGAGCCTGTGCGTGCCCAAGCCACCATGTCTGTCCCAGGAGAGACGTGTGGCTCGGGCGCACCGCAGGTGCCGAGGTGAGTGCCGCCCGGCATTTTGTCACTCCCTCAGTGGTGACACCCGGGCCAGCCTGAACCTATCGCACCCCCTTCCTCCGCCCATGTCCATGCAGAGAAAGGAGAACAACGTGCATGAACCTGCATTTTTGGTCATGTCTAATCCCAGCCTTCGTAACAAAGAACAGTCCAAACAATTCTTGTGAGTGATGAAAGGCAAAGGGGGTAAAAATATGTTCCCATCAGGGCAAACCTCTCCAAAACTAATACACAATTGTGGCAGCTTAATCCTTTCAGAGACCACACTACCGTGTAGCCTGCACTTGAGTTTCGATAACACAGCTTCTATCACCTCTTTGTGTTATGTTTACTTTAAAGGGGACCCAAACATCTGCGTTTTGAATGAATCAATTGTGTTAATGTGTGGAAAGTGCTTTTGCCTTTTAATCGCATCACGCTGCCTAATGACATCAAGCTCTAGTCTGATAAAAATTGTGAAATCGCTGCTTCCTCATGTGTTATTTTCCTGGTTCAGGCTAACCTGTTCCCTTCACTCCCTCTCAGGCAACCTGATATGTGAACAAACACTTATCTCTGGTGTTATTTTTGCCTCGTAGCAACACATATCCAAGACACACAAAAAGGAAGCCTATGTATGATATTGAAATTGCTTTAATCTAATTTGGTTATTGGGCATTAGATGACTTGCACTCCATCTGCTCTATACAATTAAAGCAGTATCTTACCACTTTAAACAGCTTCTTCCAAAGAACCCTGGGAATTGTAGTTTGCTAAGCAGAGCCTAGGACTTGCCGATCAGAAGGTCGGCGGTTCGAATCCCCGCGATGTGGTGAGCTCCTGTTGCTCGGTCCCTGCTCCTGCCCACCTAGCAGTTCGAAAGCGTGTCAAAGTGCAAGTAGATAAATAGATACCGCTCCGGCGGGAAGGTAAACGGCGTTTCCGTGAGCTGCTCTGGTTCGCCAGAAGTGGCTTAGTCATGCTGGCCACATCACCCAGAAGCTGTACGCCAGCTCCCTCGGCCAGTAAAGCGAGATGAGTGCTGCAACCCCAGAGTCGGTCACGACTGGACCTAATGGTCAGCGGTCCCTTTACCTTTACCTTTTTAAGGGTGCTGAGACTTGTTAGGAAACCCCTGTTCCTCTCCCAGAGCAGCAATTCCCAGAGTGGTTTAACCATCAATACCTCTTTCCCAAGAACTCTTGGAACTGAGTACTAGCAACTCATTCTTTGCCAAATCGGGTCCTCCCTTAAAGAGGGCATGTATTGTGGTGAGACCTGGAAAACCGACACCCTGTGTTGTGGGTAGGTATGATTGGTCAGCCACAACACCTGATTGGTAAGTCCCTCAAAGCTGGGTGCAATCTGGCCAATGGGACGCAGTCCAAACGGTTCAAGGGACCTATTTATGCCCATGCACGTGACCCAGAGCTTCCTCTTTCAGCGCGTGCATTCGGAACACCTGCCTACCTCTCCCTACTTTTAGGGCTTTGCGCTAGACCTTGCTATGCTGTCGTGTGTTGTCTGTCATTGGGACAGGGGCATGGCAGGAATTTTCCCCACTTGGCTGATTGGCTGTTGCCATTTGGGATTTGCCTGCTGCGTAGCAAATTGTCAAAACTTGTAAGGTTGCGGATAGGCTCTGGTTCAGGTGATAGGGATGGGAGAACGCTCTCGCCATCCCTATGTGAAGGGTATTCCATTAAAGGAACGGAGGGACTTGATGGTTTGGTCAACGCCTGAGAGAGGGTTGTGCCCGTGCCTGAGTCCAGGGGGACATTTGGGTGGTGGAATTAGCCTGTTCCCGGCTTTCTGCTTATCCAGGTGTTCACCCTTGGCTGACCTATGCTGGAACCCTGGGTCAGCGCTACCTGCATGGCAGGGAGCTAGTCGAACCAGAGCCTATGCAACCAGTCACTAAGCAATAAAGTTGTGGCCTAAATTCTGCCAAAAACCAAAACCAAAATTTGAGTCAAGTGTGAATTTATTTAGGGGGGAGGTTTCTGGGTCTGAACACACAAAAAGAAAAAAGCAACAAAACCAAAAAAGCACACTGCTGTAGGCTGCCTATCACGTAGCAGAATGAAGTATAGTTACTACCCACTAAAGAGGTTGTGTTTATGTAATGCAAAAATTGTTAGGTCAGATAATGTGAAACAGAGTCATCGCCCGCTCTGTTTGGAACAGAATATACCAATTAGTAGTCAACCCTAGATGAGTACTGGCACTTGGTATTCAATTTAATTTCCATCTGTATTAATATATCAACTAATTCTAAACACAGAATACATATTTATGCTTTTAGTGTTTTATATTAGCATAACATACACCATGTACTGTAACATTTCTGACTATGGACGTCAGGGCACAATACACACACCCTTCACCATTCTGAGAAAACCCCTTAATCCCAATTTTATTTCATTTTACAAAAAGAAAAACATACACCAATAAATAAATTTTAGAAAGGGGGCACACAGACACACAAAGCATTTAAAAAAATAAAAACCGAGACTCCTTGCGCTCCACGTTACGCCCCCTTTCTGCCCTCTGCCTGCCCCTCAGAGCTGTAACCGGCTGTACGTTTGAAAAAATAATATATACTATTCATTGTATTGAATTGTAGATTTCAACAAAAGTAGCTCATAAAGTTCAACGAAAAAAGTAGAAGACCCTGTTGATTGCCAACACCAGTTACTCGAATCAATATTGTGCTTGTCCGTATAACTCCACTCTGTAAAATTTGCTGCTTACAGCTACTACTATGCTATAAGATCCACTGTCCTGTGATATCATATATGGTATGTATGGTTGTTGACGGTTTTTATATTAATTTTGCTGTAAAAATGTGTGAGATTACGATATTCTATTGTTTTGCATTACCTAGAGTTTGTACTACTGATGAAGCCTAGGACGGCAAAACAAGGCTAATATTCCAGAAATCCTTGTCTTAGACTCTGTGAAAGGATTCTGTGGAACTGCAACAACCTTTCGTGTGGATTGTTGGACTCAATGAACAGACAGGTAGAATAGACATTTTAACATACATGGACCTTATGCATAAACTGATTAGAGAATGAACTGATCCACTTTTTTCTACTTTTTTCATTGAACTTTATGAGCTACTTCTGTTGAAATCTACCATTCAATACAATGAATAATACCGTATTTTTTGCACTATAAGACTCACTTTTTCCCTCCTAAAAAGTAAGGGGAAATGTGTGTGCGTCTTATGGAGCGAATGCAGGCTGCACAGCTATCCCAGAAGCCAGAAGAGCAAGAGGGATTGCTGCTTTCACTGTGAAGCGATCCCTGTTGCTGTTCCGGCTTCTGAGATTCAGAATTTTTTTTTCTTGTTTTCCTCCTCCAAAAACTAGGTGTGTCTTGTGGTCTGGTGCGTCTTATAGAGCAAAAATACGGTATATATTATTTTTTCAAACGTAGTGCCAGTAACGCCTTGTGTGTTTATTGAATGTTTCACGTAACCAGAGGTTTGTTGTTGTTTTGCCCCTCAGAGCTGGCACATCACACAGGGCTGGACCTCAGCGGCTGCAGCCTTTCCTCCTCCTCCTCCTCCTTGCCCGCTCTCCAGCAGCTGCTACAAGCTGCCCAAGGGAGGAGGTCAGCAGTGGCAGCCATGGAAAAGCCATGGAGAGGCAACAGGACGTTCTCTCGCAGCAACCGCTGCAGCCGCTGTCACCTCATCCTCCTCCCTGAACTCGGCAGAAGCAGCACCGGCAAGGGAAACTGAGGCATTCCGTGATCAAATCAAAAGCCGGGATGGCTCTTGCAATTCTGGGACTCTCCCTGGAAAATTGCCCCACACGAATGATGAGTGTGCCATAAAATGTTCCCAGAATCCTCTGCAATGTGGGAGAATTTCTGTGGCAGGAGTTCCTTGGCGAATTAATTGATTTGGGAAGGATTCTGAAATCCCTGTTCTAAGAAATGAGTCACCTATGTGTACATAGCAAAATACTGTTTTGCTGGGCAATTCTAGTAAACTTTCCAGTCCAAGGTTTTAAAATAAAAGACCTTTTGTATGCGAGGGAAATATAGTGAGACAGACCCAAGGGTCTCCACACATTTTGGGTGGATGGAATATATTTCCAGTCATCTTTTCCTGATGCTTTTGAATATTAGATGTTTTGCCTTC